AATATGAGAAAATTACTCAATTACCTTCAAAACTGTCAGGTTTTAATTTTATAACCTAATCAATATTTATTTAAAGACATTCAAGAAAACATTTTTCAACGGAGATACAGTGAAGATGACAAAAAAGCAGGGGGACCTCTGGAGACACACTTGTCAAACATTCCAAGAAAAACTGACATAACCTCAAATACTACTTGACAAATCAGCTGAGATTTTTCAACCTTAGTAGTAATCACTCAATGAGGGTTGATCGGGGAAACGACAACACACATCTTTAAACACACCGATCATAAATAACTCCTCTTTACACAAAACTTCTATCTCCTTATACTATTTCGTGTACTTGTCTTTTGATGCCATTTTAGTCAATGGCAACGGCCTAAGTGTAGCACGACACTTCTCAGCCGACACTGGCCACAATAGATAATTCACACTCCACTGCGACATATTTACCTCAATAACGCGGCGTTTCCATTCACGTTATACGAAAGTTATCCTCAAAATGTCATTTCGCACACGAGCACTGCATCGCACATTCAACTTCACACCAGGTAAACAAATTGTGCTCTCGTCGGTATCGGGAGAGATACTAGCGCTTTGAAAAGCACGTGGAAAGATGGTAAACTAGAGGCCCTCACAGGTTGACTTCACGAAAATGTCCCTAGACGCGAATGCCATGGCTCGCCTTCCGCGACACCAAAAGGAAGAACTGCCACCGGCAGTTGTTCCGTATTTTTCGATCCACGGCAATTTTTAACTATGTTCGTGGAATTTCGCGACGAACGCTCGGTTCTTTCCCGTTCTCGTCGCGTCGACTACCATCGTCTGGCTGAAGTTGAGTTGGCAGCGGGACTACCATCACGCCTCTAGCGGGAGGGGCGCGAGTCACTATCCCGCCCGCATCCCGCTCCCGGTGGCTCCGTCGGTGTGAAGCGTGGGGTATCGCCACCACCCCTTAACAGAAATACTCCGACCTCTCATGGGTCAATGCCCTTCCCTCCTCACGGGCAGCAGAGGGGTATACACACCCGTCACGTCCTAAACATGTAATGCTTCAGCCCTACCCAGCCATAGAAAGTTAGAATATTTTTCGCTATTAGGCAATTTAAATGTTTCACTAAAATATGAAAAACCACAGAGATGTCGCCAAAGAATTGATTTAAAAAACTTTATTTGCGCATTTTTAAAAAAATTCTGACCTGACGATTGAATCGAGTATATGGCGTGAAAATAAAATACCTATCCAGGAAAAGGGTTGCGAAAATCGAACGCCAAAGCAGAACGGCGATCTCTCAGTTGCCGTATTTTCCTGGTCCCACCCGAAACAACGGAGAGGGGTGGCGGCGAGCAGGTCCCCCGGGCTGCTGCGCTGGAGGAGGATGCTGGGCATGGAGCGGACGGGGCTGGAGCGGGGCTGTAGCAGGGCTGGAGGGCTGGAGGGCTGGAGGGCTGGAGGGCCGTAGGGAGGCGACAATCGATCAGCGAGCGGGAGACAGGCCACGCCGGGCCGGGACGGCCGGGGACCCTAGGGGTGGGACCCTAGGGGTAGTCCTCAACCAGTCTGGGGCCAACCGCCTCCCCGCGCGCCCCACGATGTGGTCCAGGGCCGTACTGCTGCTGCTGCTGCTGCTTGTGGGCACGAGCAAGGCGACAGAGGAGGCCGGTGCCGCCGACACAGAGACCACCACGGAGATGGACGAGGCACTCCCCACGGCGCCGCCGTCGCCGCCACTCTGCCCCACGAGCAGCACGCACTTTCAGTGCGACGAGGCGCGCTGCCTGCGCTACGAGGAGGAGCGCCAGGGCGACACCTGCAGCATGCGCTGCGCCGAGCCGGCCCCGACCTGCCTGCACCGCAAGTACCTCTGCGACGGCGTGCCGGACTGCGAGGACGCCTCCGACGAGGCCGGCTGCCTGCAGTGCGGCCTGGACGCCTTCCCGTGCAATGGCATGTGTCGCCGGCGCGAGCTCGTCTGCGACAAGGCCTACAGGTAACTCACACATGTAACTCGAACCTACCCCACAGCAGGAGCCTCTAACCTAACTAAGCCGGCAGGACTGTCGTGCGCATTTCTCATCCCCGATGGGGGCTCAATCGTGCAGAGGGGTAGTTTTACTTTGCGAGCACAGTTTGCAGCGGTGCGGACCGTTATTGATCGTGTATCCTGGACCGCAGCCACTGCCGGCCCGCCGGCACCATCTGCCCCGGGCCGCCGCTGCCGTGCCAGGGCGGCCCGGGCCGCGCCAACCTGACGTGCGACGGCGTGGACGACTGCGGCGGCTTCGACGAGCGCTTCTGTGGCACCCCGCTGGACTGCCAGCCCGGCGCCTTCTTCTGCGACGGCCGCTGCCTCCGGGCGTCGAGGCGCTGTGACGGCGTGCGCCACTGCCAGGACGGCGCCGACGAACTCAACTGCCCCGCCAGCCTGCACGAGGTCGCCGTGGTCTACAAGTGAGTGTTCCTGCCTGCTGGTCGTGGCGCGACTCCTGTCTTCCTCTTTGCCACCCTCTCCGCTCCCTGTCCTTCAAGGCACGCCGAGGGAACCGTCACGCGCAGGGAATGCTTCGACTGCGGCAACGGCCGCTGCGTGTCGCCGAGCGTCAAGTGCGACGGCGTGGACGACTGCGGCAACAAAAAGGACGAGAAGCGGTGCTTCGCGCCCATCTGCACCGCCGGTGGAGGGCGCAACTGCGTGGCCACCAAGTGCTCGGAGCAGGGCATCCCCTGCAGCTCCGGCTACCGCTGCGGACGTCTAAAGTGGTCGTGCGACGGCCACCCGCAGTGCGAGGGCGGAGTGGACGAGCCCGCCGATTGCCTGGCGCCGTCCAAGGTTTACTTCTGCCGCGGAGACGACGTCGAACCGCGGCCCGCGGCCTCCTGGTGCGACGGCAAGCCCGACTGCCCGGGCGCCAACCCCCAGGACGAGGCGGACTGCCCGAGCGAGCCGCCGCTAGCCCGGGTGTACTGCTCTGACAACCGGACCGACCACGGCTACATACAGGTCAGCACGCCCCTAACTGCGCCCCAGCTGTTGTAGTTGTGCTAGATGGTAGATGGCTACACAGCCAGCACTGTGCGCCAAGGCATTCGACGCTCTAACAGGGTGCTTGCTGCAGGGCGGGCGGGCCGTGGCGTGCGCGCCGCTGCCGCGTCTCATCCACTGCCACGACGGCAGTCCCCGCCTGGAGACCACGCGCTGCGACGGCGTGGACGACTGCCCCGACGGCGAGGACGAGGAGAGCTGTAGCCACTGCTACGACGGCGCCCTCCTGTGCGACGGCCGCTGCATCATGGCGTCACGGCGCTGCGACGGCTTCTTCGACTGCAGTGACGGCGCCGACGAGCGCGGCTGTCACGACGACCTGGTGCTGGGCTCGGCCTTCTTCCACCCGCGCGTGTGCGGCCCTGGGCGCTTCGACTGCGGCAGCCGGTAGGCGCGGTTCTCTTGCTGCTCTGTCTGATCGCGTCGCCGCCGTTTGTTGTAGACGTGTGTCTGTGTGTCCAGGTGCATCGACTCGCAGTTCGTGTGCGACGGCGTCCCGGACTGCGACAACCACGCCGACGAGGCCAACTGCGTGTCGTGCCGGGGCGGCTCGACGGCGTGCTCGGGGCGCTGCGTCCGCCGCGCGGCCGCCTGCCCGTCCGAGGTCGCGTGCACGCTCAGCACCCTGGGCGCGCAGGCGGCGACGGCGGCGGGGACCTGCAACGGCGTCCCGGAGTGCGCGTCCGGCCAGGACGAGGTGGGCTGCGCCAGCGAGGCGGCCTGCCTGGCGGGAGTCTTCTGCGACAACGCGTGCCGCCCGCGGTCCGCGCGCTGCGACGGCGTTCGCGACTGCAGCGACGGGCGTGACGAGCAAGGCTGCCCCGAGGGGCTGGCCAACACGACGACCAAAGAGTCCTGGCGCCGCATCAACCACCGCGTCGAGTTCACTTGGTCCTACAGCAGCGTGTTCACCGTCGGGGGCTTCACCACCAACGTCACGACCGTCATCAACGACAGCGTGGCCGTCACCACCACGACCGTCCGACCGCCGCGGCCACCGCCGGAGCCCCTGCCCTGTCCCACCACAACCACCCCGGAGCCCACCACCACCCCGGAGCCCGCGCCCACCCCGGCCCCGCCCCTGCGTGGACACCGACCTCGCAAAAGGGGCGGCGGTAGCGGTCGGCGCCAGCAGCAGCAGCAGCAGCAGCAGCAGCGGCGGCCGAGGAAGCAGAGGAAGCCCGACGGCGAGCGTCAGCAGCACCGCCGGCGCCAGGGGAAGCAGCAGGAGAGTGGAGAGGACACTTGAAGCACACGAACGAGTACTGCCCCAGTGCGCCTCAAAGTATCACAGTCGGCTGCCGGAGGTGACCGCTCCAGCCCTGATATCCCTCATATTGGCCTAACTAATTTTAATAGACAGTCGCGTCTAAAATCAGAGGTAGTTTTTTGCGAACCCAGCTCTGAGAAAATGTTTGTTTGAAATGCGGAACATCCAATAAGGGATTACCCTAAAAGCAAGTCCGTCATTTTCTGTTACGAAACGAAGGTTCGACGAAAGTTCAGACAATACAGCTCTCGTAGCGCCTAACAGGTAGGCAATATCTTGCCTGTATAGCTTGCGTGTACGGCGGGATAGCCTACCCGAGTCTCGCTGGCGTCGATCTTTCGTAATTTACTGAGAGAAACGGGCATACTTTCCGGACAGTCACGTAATCCCAACGGGAGATTACAAACCAGGTGGCTGATTGGCTCTACCCGCTTTCGTAATTAGACTGTACCGCCTACTCGCTTGAACCCATAAGGTGCTATGTTGAGAGACGATAGGATGTGTTTTGTTTGCATGTGTAGGTACGTGCGGTGTAGTATGACTACGTTTGCGAACTAGGGCGAATCAGCCACCTGGAAAAGTCTGCGAAAAAAGACTGGACACTTCCTGATAGAAAAGAAAAAAATACTTCAGTTGCCAAATGTTAGAAGTTAGAATAGGATTCTGTAAAAGAGAGACTTGTAGAAAACATTACTATCCAGCATGTAGAAAACTGGTTCAATTTAAAGTTTTTTAGATGAAGAATTTCTTTGCTGGTAAATCCGGTCATAGTGTTCTGATGAGTTTGCCTTCATGCAAATTTCAGGAAAAGAAAGTTA